GCCGGGTCCTGCACTTGGGTCACAACAACCCCATGCAGTGCTACAGGCTTGGGGCAGAGTGGCTCGAAAGCTGCCCGGCAGAAAAGGACCTGGGGTGTTGGTGGATGGCCGGCTAAATATGAGCCAGAAGTGTGCCCAGGTGGCCACAAAGGCCAACGACATCCTAGCCTGTATCAGGAATAGTGTGGTGAACAGGACTAGGGAACAGATCATCCCCCTGTACTCGGCCCTGGTGAGGCCCCACCTCGAGCGCTGTGTTCAGTTTTGGGCCCCTCAATACAAGAAGGACATTGAGGTGTTGGAGTGTGTCCAGAGAAGGGCTACAAAGCTGGTGAGGAACCACTGAGGGAACTGGGGTTGTTTAGCCTGGAGAAAGGGAGGCTGAGGGGAGACCTCATCACCCTCTACCTGAAAGGAGGTTGTAGAGAGGTGGGGGTTGACCTCCCTGGTGACAAGTGACAGGATGAGAGGAAATGGGTGCAAGTTATGTCAGGGAAGGTTTAGATTGGATATTAGGAAAGGGTTATTAAACATTGGAATAGGCTGCCCAGAGAGGGGGTGGATTCACCATCCCTGGAGGTGTTTAAGAAAAAAGGGTAGACGTGGTACTTGGGGACATGGTTTAGAAGTAGTTTTGTCAGGGTAGGTTAATGGTTGGACTTGATGATCTTAAAGATCTTTTCCAACCTCAGTGATTCTATGATTCTATGATTATTCTTTTTTATTTAATGTCACTGAGACCTAATCAAATTAAAAGTATGTAGTTTAACTCCTGTACTTATTTCAGTGCTCAGATCTGTACTGATAATTACTTTAACTTTTATCTACCTCTGCTCCTTGTTCTATCTGAATACATGTATTTTCTTTAGTTTTCATAATAGATGAATAATCTTCTTTCATTTGTTCCAGCTGAGTTGCCTTCATAAAAAACTAAAAAGGAATAAAAAGATGCAGATGTTAGATTCAGCAGCTTATCTAAGAGAACTTTAAATAATTACCATAGAAAGACAACTCATCACAACCTCTACGCATGCTGAATGATAACTAAAGTAAAATACTGGTGGGGTCTTTCTGAATCATGAACTCAGCAGTGTCCTAAATTTTTTTAAAACTTATCAATGTCTTTAGTGAAAAGAAACTTAAAAAAAAAAAACGGTTTTGCAAGTGGATGATTGCTACAATCAGATAGTTTATTGGGTCTGGCTGGGATTGAGTTAAGTGTCTTCACAGCAACTGTTATGGTGGTGTGTGACCACAACAATGCTGATAACACACTGATGTTCTAGCTGTCGCTGAACAGTGTTTGTACAGCGTCAAGACCTCCCATTTCTTACTCTGCACTCCCAGTGAACATACTGGTGGGGTGTGCAAGAGGTTGGAAGGGGATACAACCAGGCAGATGACCCCAGCTAACCAAAGAGATATTGCATCCCATAAAATGTCATTGTTGTGGTCTAACCCCAGCCAGCAACTAAGAACCACACAAACACTCACTCACTTCCCCACCCAGTGGAATTGAGGAGAGAGTAGGAAGGGTAAAAGTGAGAAGACGGATGGGTTGAGATAAAACCAGTTTAATAAAGCAAAAGTTGTGCAGGCAAGCAGAGTAAAATAAGGAATTCATTCACTACTTCCCATCGGCAGGCAGGTGTTCAGCCATCTCCAGGAATGCGGGGCTCCATCATGCGCAATGGTTATTTGGGAAGACAAACGCCAACACTCTGAATGCCCCTCCTTCCTTCTTGTTCCCCAAGCTTTTTACTGCTAAGCATGATGTCATACGGTAAGGAATATCCCTTTGGTCAGTGGGTTCAGCTGTCCCAACTGTGTCCCCTCCCAACTTTTTCTGCACCTCCAGCTTACTCACTGGTGGGGTGGTGTAAGAAGCCCCCAAGCAGGGGGCAGCAGGGAAAGGAAGGGAAGTCAGCAAGCTGCTGCGTAGTGCTTAGCTGCTTACCTGAGTTAATCTACAACAGGTCATTAAAATTAAGAATTCTGATTATTTTTTTTTTTGCCTCCAAACATCACCTCTAAAAATCTGAAATTAATATTCTAATGTTTAATCAAAATGTTAAATGATTTTTCTTACCTTGTACTTGTCACCCTCATTTTTAGACTGTAAAAAGTGCTTACTCATCTCTTGGGTTAAAACAGACACAGGATTATCTACCTGTAAAAATAAATTATTTCCATTTTATTTTAAGTAAAAAAAGTTCTCATGTAACTGCATATCCATGAAAGTGAGCAAACCACCTCCCTGTTCCATGCCCAGCAATTCAGCAATAAGCTGAGAGAAGCAGATCCAGAAATTAAGATTTCTACTTCTTACCCCTTTTTTTAAAAGCAAACAGACAAACACAAAACAACAACAAACAAAAAATGAAAAAATCCAACTCCATCATGTACAAATTGCAACCACAACAAGAACAAAGGAACTGTTCCCAGGGGGATAACTAACTTCTAGAAAGACAGTGCCTGTTTTTTCCACTTATTTAACAATATCAGCATTAGAAATTTTGTCCAATGCTGTTTAATTTCTCATTATTTAATTGATCAAAGTATTGCATTAAATGCAACAAATTGCCCCATATATTCTTAAAGAGGTTTCCACAAAATAAAATCAATACCTACTAACAGAAGTTTATATTATTTGAAAGGCTGAATATGTTGAATATTTTAAACTTCATGTGCACTACCCAATCTTCCTTAATCATTTAAGCAGCAAAAACACACTCAAATTTCTGCAACAGCAAAAACTGTTGATGAACACAAAAAAAAAAAGTATCAAGTACAAAAGAAACCTACATATGCTAAGACTTTCATTAACAGGATACATGACTCACAGGTCACAGATGATAGCAAATCCTTATCTGTCTGGACAGAATCTTACTCTGCATTGTACGAGGTATAAATTTCAATTTTCTTTTGCTATTGCATTTGATCTTGAAAGAACATGGAAAAGGTCAACTTTTCATTTAATGAAACAGAACATTGCTTTCTAATTGAAGAATTATAACATCACACACTGATGTCTTAAATTGCACAGAATTTAAACACTATAACAATTACCTGTATATTAAAGTGATCCAGTATCCCTACAAGTTCCTCTTTCTTTGAAGAAATTAAGGTCCCTAATGGAAAAAAAAAAAAAAGAAAGGAAAAATACTGATAGGTCCAAAGTAGAGATACAAGCAATGCCCTAGCCTTTTGTTCAATCTAGTGGTTCTTTGTAAATGTAAAAAATGAGATTAGTATTTTTGTAACACAGACTTAGTCCTAAGTGAGAAACACTGTTTGGTTGAGTTTTTAAATTTTTCTAATATATTTGCATTTTTACAGAAAGACTTCTAATTAAAGTCCCTTCTTGCCTCATAAAGCCTCTATGACAGTATTTAGGTAAATCAGCAAATTCAACAAAAACTCAAAAAGACTAAAAATTATGTTCAGCCTCATCACACAAACAGATTTTCATAATGAAAAATACTGTGTGACCTCACACCATGCAGAGCCTGACACAACTGCTTTTGACATGCTACAATATCCTTAGTCTAACACAGAAAAAAAATCTTAGTAAACACAATAAACAGACATAATCATCCTTGAATTACAAATGAAATAAGAAACATCACCCTTTGCTAACATGAAGGCATTTAAAGCAATGAAAACATCTAAAGAGCTTCTAAGACTGAAAACAAAACAAATTACCACCAACCAGATTTGCTTTTCAGTCTGTAACTTCTGCTTCCATCCAGATTAATGTGCTGATTCACAATAATAGAGCTACCATACACTTCTGGTTTAAATGCATCTCTACCTTGGTTTCGCAATGTTATTGAAATATCTGCAGAACTAAAAAAAATAAAAATAATAAAACAGACAACTGAAATTAGTTCCAAAGCTAAAAAAGCCCAAACAAACAAAAAAACCCTGCCCAAAAACCCCAGAGAATATTCTAATTTTCCACAAAAATAATCATGTCTTGCACAGGTCAGAACTGGAAGTCAGTCATTGTACCAATCAGAACAAGATATATTTATGTTGTTCGAGCACAAACAGCATCAGAGACACATAGTCAGAAAAGCTCCTGTACGCTGACCTGTTTGCACCTTCTATGCTTCAGATAAATTGTGACCCAAGAAGTAAATAGTTGTGAGAGCAGATTTCCCTTACCTTCCCTTTCCATCTGAGTGACCCCAACTTTAGGTCGCAGAATCAAGTTGCTTTGTCCCCAGACTAGCTTCTTTAGAAAACAGTTGCTTAGCTTCTACAGCCATCTCTAACCAAAGTAATCTCCAGCAGAATGCTTAAGGCATTCTAGAAAAGATGTGGTTTCATTTCTGAATTCATATTTTCTGTTTCTCAAGTGAATGCTGAAACATTAAGTTATTATACATATGGCAGGTACTGGCAACAATTTTACTCCAAGCACCTCTGAAAGGAAAAGCCTGAGGCTCCAAGTTACAGCTTTATGTAAATGTAAACTTTTAAACCTCCTCTCCTATCTGTCTATCCCCAGTCTTGCAGCAGACATGAATCCACTTCTTGCATATTTAATAATCCACCTGTATGTCAAGGTCTTTATATTGTATACTCATTCATGCCACCAGAAAGACAGAAAAAGAATTAACTTCACTGCTCACAGAACAATAACTAGTTTCCTATGATTTTTTTAAATTAACTCAATTCTTCTCTAGGATATTCAAGTACATTGTGGAAGTAATACACTAGAACTGAGCAATACTCAGGACATACTACTATGTTAGCTAGTTCAGAGACAATGGTATACTACTGGTAAATTACTAGAAAATTTTTTTTTGTAGTTTTGGGGTTTTTTGTTTCAGTATGATCCCTTTAGTGCTATGCTTTTTATTCAAATGTGGTAGATTAAATAAGAGAACACTGAAAACGAAGGTGAACAGAAAACTGATCAGCTAACCTGAATCACAACGACTAACAACATGTCCAGCCTTCAAAAAGTTTTTACTTACGTCTCTCCATCTCGTACAAACATTTTTAATGAGGAACCTCTATTAGTTGCAGTGGCTTTTCCACCAAGTCCAACAATAAGAGCAGTTAATACAGAACTTTTTCCACCTGTAATAGAAACATTGAACTTTTTTTAAAAAAAAGTTCTTGTAAGTCTTTATCTAGTTCACCCATATTACAGATTTTTGTTTTGCTTATGTATTCATGAGCTTAAAGTCCAAATTCCGTCCTTATTGAACAATCAAATAAAATGGCACTAACTCTAGAAAAACATCCACCATTTCCAATTTTCTCCCTAAAAAAATACATAAAAGACAACATGCTAAGCCAAACTTCTGTTACTTCTGTTTAGCAATTTGCATTCAACAAGATGTCCTTCCTATCTCAGGAGGAAAGAATCTCCCCTTCCTTAGAAGCATACAGAAGACACATATACAACAAAAGAAATGAAACACGTATTACCATTTATATAACTATCTGAAAAGTTTTAAGCTCTCTTTCAAAATTTATGTTTAATTTTTGAAATTCTCTCTCTGAAAGAAGTGAACTTGCATAAAAAAGTATCACTTCCCATGCTTATAACAGGAAAATTACTGTGCATTTAGTAATGAACATACAAGTACATTTGGTTTAAATATAAATTTATGTATGATTTAGCTACGAAAATATTTATATTCACATTATCTTTTGCAAATCTTCAATTCTAAGATGTATTTTTTTCACCAGCCTTGAACTACGGGGATAGACCTGTGTGGTTCCCAAGTCCAAAAGTGAATCCACCTCTATTCCTAAAGGATGGCTAGCAATTCTTTTTCAAATAAAAATTACATCTTCTAAAATATTAACAAAAGTGTTCTTTGACAAAGAAATGATGCGATTAATACTTACTTCCATTGTTTCCAACAACAAAATTGAGATTTGATCCAAACTGAAAAGGCCCCAACATCGAATGGCACATGAAGTTCTTCAGCTGGATACTTTCAATTATCCCAACTTCCCCTGCAGTCTAAAGAATTAACAATTACAACTGGTGTTACGTATGCATTTTAACGAGCTATAGTTTATCTGTCTTAAATATGAGAATTCAAATTACAGTGTGATATAAAACATCAATGGTTACAAGCTACCAGGAAACCAGAAGGGTTTCATAACACTATGAAAAGTTGCTTGCTACAGAGCAGTTACAAAATAAGAAGAAAACAGTTACCAAAGCTGATCGCTCACATGTAGTAACTCTCAGTTCTCCCCATAACTAACTTATAAATACTACAACATAAAAGATTAAGATTATAGATTCTACACAGTTGTCAGAGCAGTAATAAAGAGCATCATAGAAAGACTTTGTTGTTACTTGAATGATATTACTTGGGAGAATTCTTAGCACAGCTTAGAACGAGGGAAATTAAATTAGATCAGGAAGTGGGAAATGAAACTAAAAGTGGGACGGCCCACTGTTCAACTGGGGAAGTATTGTTTTGACAGAAAACCTTAGTTTTATCACCAGTGCTTCAGAAAAACAATGCTTTCTAAGAAAGCAAAGTCCTCAGGAAAAAATAAACAATGACACAGAACAGCTGCTGTTCAAGAAAATGAAGTGAGGAATAATGCTTCTGAGTACCAAAAATGAAACATGGTGTCTTATAGAATAGAATAGACTATTTCAGTTGGAAGGGACCTACAATGATCATCTAGTTCAACTGCCTGACCGCTTCAGGGCTGACCAAAGGTTAAAGCATGTTATTAAGGGCATTGTCCAAATGCCTCTTAAACACTGACAGGCTTGGGGCATCCACCACCTCTCTAGGAAGCCTGTTCCAGTGTTTGACCACCAAATGCTTCCTGATGTCCGGTCTAAATACAACAGACAGTATACTACACAAGACAGTATTTGCAACCTCAGAAATTATTTTTTAAAAATTCTCCATCAAATTAGAATTCAACTATTACAGAAAAGCAGAAAAAAAAATGGTATTTGTATTTTCAAGTTTCATTTCCATCAAAACGTGCATTTCAAACGCTAGATTTTTTTTTAGACATTTGAAAGTGTCAGCTATGTGAAACCAACAAGTATTTAGTGCTTCTTTTAGTAAATAATTTGTTCTGCAAATTTTTTCTCTGCTTTTACTACAACCATAAACCAAACATACCATACTTGTCTCAAACAAAATCAGTTTCCTTTATTTTGGTTATTTGACATCTTCAGCAGTATTCATTCTATAAAACCAGAATACTGTTATTTTGTGATTAACTGTTACAACTAGATGACCCAAAAGAAATAAGGTAAGAATGAACTCATGCAGAAGTCCTCATCACAGACGTTACCTCTAGTTTCTTTTGTATTGGTTCCACTGAAGCCTACACGCCAGACATTTATTTCAACGTCAACCAAAGACACAAAACTTTTTTATATCTACTTCTTATATCTTCCCCCGAACAATTTTTCAAACAACTTACCGACAGTGAAGAGAGATTACTATCTGCTGATAACTGTGAAATTTCTTCTTCATTAGACTCATCACTATGTTCATCTGTATATTCTTGTCTCTGCCTTTTACTGGATCCAGGCTTTGAAATACTTTCTTCCTTTCTCTTACCCATGAGTGCTGAAAAATAAGAGTAATGAAAAATTGTAGGTTTCAGTCTTCCAGACAAATAGACGACAGCACAGACATACCAATTAATATTTCTTTAACCAAAGTAAATAAAGATCATAGCAAACACTGCAACAAACAAATACTTTTTCAGAACTGAAATCTCAGTGAATTTAAGCCTAAGCCTACTATGAAGAAGTTACATTAGAACAAAAGAAACACTATTTCATTATTCTAATCAAGCTGAACCTGTTTGTTGATTAACAACAAAATCAACCTTGATTTTGTTTTCCTTGGTACATTAAGCTTTGGGATATTTGCTCGAATTGTTTTTGGTTAATAATGGAGATAAAAATTAAGTTGTAAAAAGTACACAAATATCACAGTATGATCAGCAGCAATGCAGGTTTGATTAAAGTGAGCTGCACAGCCAAAAAGAACATGTATTAATTATACGTGGCTGACAAATTACTAGAAAATTAACATGCAGAACACATAAAAGTAGAATAAAGGAAAATTTAGTTTCATAGCATTTTTTGTGTGCTGTTTCTTGCACACAGCCACCCTGCTTTTGTGAGGCAGTGTAGCGTGATCACAGTAAACAAAATGCTGTTATTTTACTAATGAAGGATAACAATTCTCTATATAGGGAACATACGTGTATATATTTCCTCTGCAAATGAATAAATAATGCACAAACTTCCTGCATTAATATGATTGGTCAGAAATGAATCTTGCAAAAATAACAAGGTCTATTTAAGTCACATAAAACTGAAAAAACAGGCATCAAGAACAGTCACATTTTCTGTAACCGTAACCTCAGGGCATGGTTTTTACTCCCCCAGAAGTACCTGTTACATTCTTCATACCTAGAGTCCCAAAGCACTACACAAAACATGGAAGTTCACATACTTTTGCCCAAAGTAGAAGCAAGGTCTTGTTTATACAAAGGCAACACACATTTTTTTTATTTGCCAGTAGTTGTCACCTACTAGTAAGTGTCAAAAACAGACTAAAACTGACATCAGCTGCATAGTTTTCTGACATCAAAAAGTTTCAGAAATGGAGTACATTCTCCTACTCGGACTTTGTTTACTAGAATTTAATCTAAAGCTCCCTTCCAGGAAAGGTGGAAACAAACTTAAATGCATCTCACCAGTTCAAGCAAAATTCAGAGGCATTACATGTAATTAATATCCACTGATACAGAAACATCACTGCCTGATACACGGCCAAAGAGTAGGCTGAGTTTATTTATAAAAATAAATAAGTAATAATATTTTTTTAAAAAAATGAGGTGGGGTGCAGGAAAGGAAAAAACAAACAGCATTAGAAACATTGCATTCCAAAGTTGATACCACGTGTCATGGCTTGAGGTCAATGTCAATTGACTGTGTGGTAACTAAACACACTGGGGGCTGGGACACCGGAACAATTCCGGTCACAGAGAGATTTAACAGTGGGCAACCACTTCTTTGTCCCACAGGACAGACAGGACCATCCAGGAGAGAAGGCAGGCAGGTCAGCCTAACAGTTCCTAACATGATCTCCTGTGTCCTGCAGGGGTGACACAGCCCATGAGAAAGCTGGGTGGATCAGCACTGTGTTTCCAGCTGTGCAATGCACAGCCTCAGGGTCCCACGGGGGTCCCTTGTTAAAGTCCTCGGGGCCTCCCAGAGCTTCTCTCTGGGATTGGCTCCACACTCTCTCAATTTTTTATGATTGATAACTTGGAGAATCTAAGGAGAACTCAATGAACTAAAGACTGTAAAATTACAACTTTAGTCATAAGAACTAGCGCTGCAACAGAGACGAGCAGTTTTTCCTCCCTCTGCCTCTTCTGTTTCTGTCTCATCCCCCTGAGTTCAGCAGCTTTTTATACAGCAGAATAATAAACGGCCTCAAGGCACTGATTCTACTGAAAATTATTAAAAAGAAAAAAGTTTTTTCCTGTATATTATATAAGTTCCCCAACCATTTCACCATGCAGATCTGCACATTTGGGTCACTGTAGAGAAAGAGTGCTTCTTTGAGCAGTTTCTTTTACTTGTGTCACCTTAATGTTCTGGTCAGACTATAGCCAGATTTCAACTGACTGAAGGTTTGATAGCTCATACTACCATGCATCACAGACAATAGCATTTATTATACAAAACACTACAGACATTAAAATTTGTTCCACTGTTACAAAGTATATTTAATTTCTATTGTATATATTCGTCGACTGTTTTATAAAAAATACAGTATCCAATAATTCCCTCATTAATTTTCTTTGACACAGAATCTAAATGAAAGAAAAAATAACATGCATCTCTTTCCATTAAGTGTGATGAACAAAGTTCAAGGCAAATGCAGAAATGTAATAAACTTCCCATCTGACATTCCTGCAATAATTCTGTATTGCAGGGATTTCAGATCAAATACTAGATTATGTCCATTAAGTATCAACAGGGAATATGTAATTTCTTTTTAATATTACGTAGTTTAATACCATACACATAGAAACCAAGAAGCAAATACACTTCATGATTCAGTTACATACCTTTTGCTATGCTTTCGGTTTCCTACATAAACATGTCTTTGTGCTTCAATTGCTCAGACCAGGAAAGAGTCGCTTGTATGCTCTCGGAATTTACCCATCACCCAAATATGAAGATAAGCATTCATTCAATCTGCTGTTCCATTGAAATCCCTCTCTAGAAAGAAGGGAAAACACAAGGTTTACATGTTGCAACTATTAATGTCTGACCTAAAGATCAGGGCTCTAAGTTCCATCACTATAACGTTTGGACATTTAAGAAAAAGAGAGTACAAGTGTAGGAAAGAGAACAAAACAACCTAGGAGAAAACTCACTTATAATCTAAGCATGACGAAGGCAAAGGACAGAACAGTCTGTACCCCAGAACTCTTGAAGAACTGGTACTGCAAAGAAAACTTAACTGGAACTGCAAGCAAACTTTATTGAAGTAGCCTCAGAAATAATTACAAGAAGTACCAGTGGATGTAATAACTATATTGAGCACAAAAGTGCCAGAAGAAAAGAGAAACTGACTGCAGCAACAAGGAATGCACTTCACAAAAAACAAAGCTTCAAAAGCTGAAGGAAGAAATAATCAACACTAAAAAAAGTAAAAAACCCACTGAAATTGACACATACATTTGAATTTTATCTTTAGATCATCTTGACATTTTTGACAGAAAAAAGTTCCTTTTTTTTTTTTTTTTTACATTAATTGCTCCCAAAACTCTTGCACCAAAACACTCCTAATTTTCTTCATTAAATTTTTAATCGGAAAAATAATTTACTTCCATCTCAGCATCATTTACCATGACTTTAACACAGTTTGGGAACAACTATACATGGAAAAGCGGCTGATCTGACCTATCTGAAGGTTATTAAGATACGCAATTAACAATTAAACTGGCAAAAACATAAATTAGTACAAGTATTTTAATATATGCAACAGACTAAGGGGAAGCCAACAATTGATACTACTGGCAAACGTTAACAGAAGGATTTTTTTTTAATGGACCAGGCATCATATTTAAAAACTGAAGTCTAGATTTATGTTTATGTTGCAATATAAAATAGGACTATGTTAATGGAAACTTGTGATGACAGAGTCAGGAACATCAATAATTCAAACGAGAATCTGACTGCTACTAAGGAAGACAACACAAAAGTACTGATTTAATACAGAAAACTAACTATACTATCATGGAATGTAAGAGCACACGGTTAGGAATAAAAACTGGAGCTATAAATTGAGAACAAATAAGGGCAAGACAGATCCAATTATAAAAACATCACAGGATCACTACAAATTATTACAAGTAATTGTTATGCACATAATGAGAGCAGGAGAGAAAAACACAATGCCCAAATGTGCTGTATAAAGCTATTAGGACTATTACATGTTATAATAGAAAAGTATTTACCCTGTTAACATCAAAGTACAGGAAAACAGAGACTTCCATCCGCTGGAGGCAACATACACCCATGTTCCAACTCAAGCAATGACATCTCTTTCCACAGTTTCCATTACAATGCGGTTCTACAAGTTTTTTTTTCCCCTTTCCCGATCCTGGCTGGTCACAGTCGGCCTCATCCAGAGCAGACACAACCAACCTACTGCCACCAAAGCCACTCCATTGGTTTTCTAGCAGCCTTCTGTTGGGGGTGTCCCGGTCAGGTAGGAAGCGGCAGCCACTCAAAACATCCACTTTAATGGCTCCACACCCAGACCAGCTACAACCTGGATTGCCTTTCATCCCATCAGCAAAACAGATGACGAGAAAAGACATCAGAACCGACCTACGGCAGGATGAACGCAAGACATGGGAGGAAGCATAGGATGGGAGAAGAGGAAGAAGAGAATTGTGGTCTTCTCCTGATGCATAGCACGCTACATTTGTTTAAACAGACACAAAGATAGTGATAAATAAATTACAAATTAACTCTAGCGGTTTATAATAATGAAAGAAGGGAACATAATGCTATCTGTTGAAAGGAACATATTTCAGAGGACCAAAGTCTAAAGCCAAGCTACATACCCAGCAGCGGAATGCTGTCCGTTTTTAGGGGCTATCCGGGGCGATGTCCCATGTTACACTACAGCACTCTGACATCCACGACTGCCCTCCGACCCCACTCACAGCCAACGCACGAGAAGCCTCTGCCATCCCCCCCCGGACCCGGGAAAAGCCCCGCCTGACCCACAGCAGCACGGGAGGCAGCTCCACCTCCCCACGGAGAAGGGACACAGGAAAGAGGGGGCAGACATCCCCCACACACACTCCGCTCGCACCCCGTTATCGCTGGCTCGGCCCAACGCTTTCTCCGGACGGACCCGCTCACCGCCCACAGCGGCGGCACCGGCCCCTTCGCGGCTGGAAAGGCCCGGCGGCAGCGGCGGCGGCTGCCCGCTCCTTACCCGCTTCCCCACCACCACCACCGCGGCCTCAGCGGCGCCGGCTGCCCCCCGGCACCGGGCGGGGAGCGCTCA